GCCGCCCGCTGCCCTCCCCGCCGCCGCGGCTCGGCTTTCTAACCCAACCCCCGTCCCCCGTCTGCCCCCGCAGGTTTGGGCCCCGATCATGAAGATCCCGCTGCTGGTCTCCACGGGAATCCTGCTGGTCGCCCTCCTGCCCTGCCAGGAGTGCAGAGCTCTCAGCAAGAGCCCGGCACCTGCCCCCGGGGCTCTGCACCAGCCAGATTTCTTTCAGCAGCAGCAGCAGCAACAGCAGCAGCAGCAGCAGCAGCAGCAAACTCTGCCCGTCCTGCTCCGCATGGGAGAAGAGTATTTCCTGCGCCTGGGCAACCTTCACAAGAGACCCGTGGGCTCTTTCTCCGCCTCCTCCAGCAGCACCAGCCACCTACAGCCCGAAGCCTCCGCCAGCAACTTTTTCCGGGCGGCGGTTCAACAGCTGCAGCAGCTGCCCGAGCGCTCGCCGGGGAACCGAGAGGACGGCGAAGCCGAGGGTGAGGCCGTGGAGAGGGAGAAGCGATCCGAGGAGCCCCCTATTTCTCTGGATCTGACTTTCCACCTCCTGCGAGAAGTCTTGGAGATGGCCCGAGCCGAGCAGTTGGCGCAGCAAGCTCACAGCAACAGGAAACTGATGGAGATAATCGGGAAGTGAAACGGCCCCTCCCCGCCTTGCCAAAGAGATTCCGCAGTTAGCACAAGAATAATTACACCGTCCGATGTACCATAGTGCTGCTCTGATGTCATCTCTTTATTTTTATATAGCTTTAAACCTAGAAGGGTGTACTCCGAACAGCCTCCGTCCCTTGACTAGCATGCACAACCGTGTACCAAGTGCAGAAACACGAGTGTCGTTCGTAACCTCCCCTACCTTTATTTATTTCTCCATTTCCCAGTTATTCTAGTGCCATCGCTACGTAGGGATGTGTGAGCATTGGAAGAAATGGTGCCAAGAAGACAGAAAACTTTTCTGCTGGGGGCAGGGAGGTGGGAGGGGGAATCTCTGTAAGCTACTTTCAATCCACTTTTTTTTTTTCCTGTAAACATTTTCACAATAAAACATCTTTTCAGCGCTCGGTCGATTTGGTTGTGTAAGAGAATGTTTAATATTTATATTTTTAATAAAAGCTGCAAAGTAAAGATGACTTGATAGACTTTCTTGCCTAGAGGCCTGAGGGCTGCTCCACCTCCCTCAGCGCTTACCGGGGCGGGGGGACACCCGGAGCCGGGGGGAGCCCTGCATCTCTCCCGGGGATGTTTCCCCCCCGCCCCGGCAGCTCCGTCTCCGCGGGCTCTCCCACAGGCGCGCCCCGACGCCGCCGGCCCCGGCCGGGCGCTGCCCCTCGGAGCAGGCTGCTCTCGGGAACGGGCTGTCGAGGGCTAATCGGTGCCCCCCAGAGCTGCCGAATCCCACCTCTGCAGCCCCCCGAGAGGGCTCCCTGGCTCCTGCCGCTGTGGCCGGGATCGGGCAGTCTCCTCCCGCCGGGGAGCAGCGAAGGGAAAGCGGTGAGGCGCTCCCGCATCTCTTTTGCGTTTTTGCATCCTCCCCGCACCCCAAAAAGGGCAGGTCCTCCCTGCTTCGGCTTTCCCCGTCCCGACGGGTGCCCAAGCGGGGTCCCTCCCAGTGGCTTCTAGGGAGGCGGTAGTGGGTGTGGAGAAACTTCCCACGAGGAACTGGGGGAAATTTCCAGGACGACTAGGGAAAAATAGTAAATCCCTCACCCCGAACCAAATCCCAGGGAAAAGCTGCTCCAGCAGCCGGAGGCGATGCGGTGGCGGTGCTGGGCGGCGCTCGTTCTGGGTTGTGCGAGCTCCAAAGCTTAGCGCGGAGCTCGCCTGCGCAGCCCTCCAAAACTCGCAGGAGAGTTTTCCAGGGAGCGTTCTCCACGGAAAACAGATACCAGCGAGGGTTGATGTCACTCGGGCCGGTAGCGACAGGTGTCCAGGACAGGGGCTCACCCCCCACAGCCTGCTAACCAGTCTGCACTGCCAGCTCACCAGTCCTGCTGGGGCACAGCGCAGACTTATGGCCCCACAAGGCCCCTGCCAAAAGAGTGCACTGCGGGCCTGGCTCGGGGATTTGGGAAAGATCCACCCATAACCCTATTGCAGAGCTTGACACCTGGTCCCCTATGGCACCGAGTGCTCCCGGCAGCCTGACAATCTCTCAAATGCTACTGTGTGTTGACACCCTACTCCCAGTGACAAAAATCAGAGTGTTGCCTTCAGAACAACTTGTAGAGCCTCTTTTAAGACACAAATTTGATTTCATTTGGTGGCTCAACATCTGCAAGGCACACAGAACAGGACAGTCAGCATTTGCCTTTTCTACAGCACAGCACAGGGGCTTCAAATTAAACCTTGAGTGAGTTTAGTACCTGTGACTACCTAATTTCACTCTGGTTTCGTGTAAGAACACGTCCCCTTTTGTACACACACCGATGGCTGAGAAGACACGGACACAGGTTATGGCTGGACAGACTGGGCAGCACTTCAGCAACTGCCCCACACACTCATAGCTGTGTGAGGTCTTGGCCAGTGCTTTGGATATGTGCATCTTCTTCACTCCTGCCACTGGGAATCTTCCTTACAAATAATGTGTTTCTGTGAGCGTCATCTGTTGTGGTTTAGTAGGAAGAGCAAGTGCAAAGGAAGAAATGGCAGCTTCTTTCTTCCCTGCCGTGTTCAGCCTCCGCAGCCTGGGAGGCACCAGTACTGTTAGACACAACCCTGACTTGGGGCTGCCAAGGACATGATAGTGTCACTGAAGTCACCAGCACTGACAAGTGGGGACGCAGGAGGATACTGAGAAGAAACACTGTTTTGGCAAAGGATGCTACTAGAGAATATCATACCAGCATTTTAGCTAAGAACATTGGTGAAGTGTTTACACCTACATGGGGATGTGCCATCAAGTGAGTTACAAAATACTAGCAGTGCACAGCCTAAAGCTGTAGTGATGCTTCTTCCCTCTTGGAAGCAAGAAATTACTGGAAAACACTCTGACTACAATACATATCGTAACCTGTCCCCATGCTCCCCTCCCTCTCAGGTCTGTCAGTTCAAGTGTATGACGTGGAGGTCAGCTGAGTTCGTAGGAACGAATCCTGCTCAGATGTCCCTTCCCAGGCCAGTTTCTTTGCTGACCGCAGCCAGGCTGCCTGTGCTCATGGTCCTTCTGAGGAGAAGCACAACAGAAGCCAGCCAGAGTGAGTCATCATTCATTCAGTGAGTTCAACCAGGAGAAGGAGAAGACATGACGAGCCGGCTCGTCACCCCTCTCACTGCTCACAGGAGCTTCCTCCACTCGTCCTTGAGGGTATGGTTCAGAACCAGTCTGCAAAGGAAGGAAAGGTTGATAAATGGAAGAGGAAAACATGAATTGCATTAAAATCAGTAAGATTTCACAACATGCAGGGAAACAGAATGAAGTGGGAAAGAAGGGAAAAGGCAGGGAGCATGGAAACTTGGGAAGCTAAGACAAGACTTCTAACACCAAATAAGTCAGAAAGACTTTTGCCATGACCAGTGTCTGAGGAAGGATTATGCTGGGTGAGCACGTCTCATCTGTTCTAAGGGCTTAGTCCTGATTTGGACCTCTGGAATATTATTATTATTTATCACTGAAGGTGATAAATGCCTGTTCAGAAGTAATCCTGAGCCAGCTTGGCTTGTGTAGCTGGGCCTCCAGATTGATGTGAACCAGAGCCAAATGTTATTGCCAGTGCATTGCCACTCAAAATGATACTCGTTCTGCTGTTATGAAATCTGCTTTGGAAGTGTTTTATTTATTTATTTTTCTTTAAAGCCTTCTAATATTTTTTTCACTTCAATTTAACTCAGATGAGGAACAGGAAAAAATAATACAGAAATATAAACTTCAGTTTATATCCCTCTTTTTTTGCAAAGGTATCCTACACTTTCAGTAGAAAAAGTAATCTGGACATGTATACTGTAGCTGCTAATAAAAGGAATTTCTAAAATTAGTTGAATATTTAACAGAGCAGTGTAATAGGCAGAAATATTTTACTAGTTCCAGATCTCTTTGGCAAAGAATGAAGACTACTTTGTGATAGTATCAGAAATCCTAATAAAGATAAAAGATATAAAAATGGGTGGTTTGCTAGCTAAGGAAAGCCTTGTGTCTTCATCATTAAAACCACAATTTAACTTGCAATATACAGGATTTTTTTGCCTTTTGTATTTCTAGATGCACAAATTCGTTATTGTACATTCCTAAAGTTAAACCAGTCATGCTGCCAGTCTTCTTTGTGCAGGGTTTTAGCTCACTTTGGAAACCTCAGCATGATCTCAGGTGAACTATTTGATGTCAACATACTACTCAATAGAGGGCAAATGACAAAGTAATATCCTCTGAATTCCAGCATCTCGATCATTTATAGAATTGTCCTAAAACAGAAAGCTACTAAAGCAGTGTTGCTAATAGACACATCCAGCAACAAACACTGAAGCGGGGATGCTTGTGAGCAGCTGAAGCATGGGATGGATGATTTTCCTGGGCATTTTTGTGTGTACTTACTGTTAAAGTGTACCACAAGAATAAGTAAGAACTAGTGGTGTGTGAAGTATAAATTGGCTAATGGGCTTCATTCCAGTTACCAGCTATTTGTATCACCAACAAACAAGACAGCATGAAGGTATGAGAAGAAATAGACCCGTGTTTCTTTGTTTATATCTAATTAGAGTTCACAGTGACATTTTCATCAACAAGATCCTTGATTGCTTTAAATTGAATTTAAATGAAATTTAAATGAAACAGCCCTATTAATTTCAATTAAACATTATCTGAAAAACTGCTTTACTCTTTGAGATGTGGACCTATCTTTGACTTAGATTCATGTTTTCAAAGCAAGGCACTGATTGCTACTTACTGCAAAACCCAAACGGGGATCTTGCAGATGAAAATAGCTTTTGCTTGCTAACTTTATAATGTGTTTTATTGAGGCCATGAGCATGGTGAAAACATGAGAAAAACAGCTGCCTACTTGAATGGAAAATCCCATTTTCAGCAATGCTGATGAGAAGGGCTTTCTCCCAGGCTCATGGAAAAATATGGTATGGAATTGGGCCCAGGGGGCCAGATCTTCAGCTGAAAGGCAGGTAGCTAATTGAGGCCTGATAATAGAAGATCTACCTCTCAGCCCTGGAAAGTGCTGATTGCAAATCTTTCAACCTGATTACAGTAAATACACAGCTAGACTTTCTGAGTTATAAGGCATTTGGCACTCTCTTGATCTTGGTAGATGCAGGAGCGTAGGTGGTTTATTAGTATTTTGTGAAAATTTTTGCCTTTATTTTTGGAAGGGCAAGTCAGAGTGCCTGGACTAGCTAAGAGCAATTTTGAAACTGGTTGAACAAATTTGTGTGCCAAGCCCTCAGCAGTATGTGTAAGCAGGCATGGGACAACCTTCCTCACTTCTTACTCTGTAAAGGAATGGGACTGGCAAGTGGTTTAAAACACAATTCCTGCTTTTTTATTTATTTTTTTTTCCCACTTAAACCCACCATCCCAAAATTTACATTAAATCAAGATTAACTTTGAAGCAAAGAACTATCTATAAGTTTAAAGTTACACTGAGCGTTTCATAGGATTTGGTCCTATTATAGAAGAAGAAAGAAAGCACAATCCAATGACTTAGACTGGCAAGGGTAACTGCATTACCCTGTTAACCACTTCTGCTGGTACTGCATTTCAAGCAAAACAATCTTTGTCTGCATCACTGCCAAAGCTGTATTTCATAATGTGTTAACTCCTTCATATTTTGCTGCGATGACATCTTCCTGTGTCAGCAAAACAATGCTGGAACTCCAACACATTCCCACTGGGTTTGGCTGGATGAAGCATTTGCTCCCTGCACCTTGCCGGACTCAGCAGGCTGCTAGTCTGCAATACCTCGATGTGCCTTTCCAAGACCAATCATTTTCCATCACACCCAGCCAGGAGTGAAGCAAGCACAAAACTGACAGTAGGGCCATTACCTGGCTTTTAGGCTTGTGTTTTCACACCTGTGACACTTCAGTGCTTGTCTCTGAATCATACAGTGACTGAGGTATGCTCCCTTCATGTAAGACGAGAAACCATCAAAAGGTGCCAGCAGCAACTTTGTCCATGTTACTAAGCCCATTCTTCCCTTCCAACAGCAGCCCACACAACTCAGAGCTATATAGCGTGCTGAAATTGTCCAAGACAAGGATTTCAGCCGTAGATTTTACAGAAAAAGGCCTGTTTTGAACCAGGCTGTGATTGTGAAAGATGGAATGCAGAAGCAGGTCACTGAGATTAAGGCATTTGACCGCTCTGTAGGTCCTTGTAATCTCACGCTGGATTATTTTGCTCTCCCTATTACTGCAACCCTACTCTGCTCCCAGAGGAAAGCTCAGTGCTGAGCATGGCACAGCCCTTGCCACATGCCGTTAAGATAGTCCAGATTCAACACTTCATTGTGTCTGTCCATTGCTATTAGATAACTTGTCAAGCTTCTACCTGAGATTTATCTTTGCCTTGGAGATCTCATGGGTAGGACTTGTTTTTCACATTACCTAGAATAACAAGTCCCAACCCTTTGGGTCCCTAAAAGTAATAAGGAATAACTAAAGAGTTTACCTCAGATTACATTAATCACATTAGGGCAATGCTGAGAGAGTGCTGAATACTTACACTTTGATTTATGTTTTCCCCTGTGGTGTCGAGTGACATCAGATGGTGCTTTCAACAAGCACCAGGAATTTTCACCAGGCCAGCTCATGAAGTGGGGAGAGAACCATGCATGACTGATGGTTGGTTTTGTTTTTCCCATAAGCAAAGTCCAGGCTGGAGTTTACATGCCAATTCTATGGAGGTGCTGAGCAACCACAACTCCCACTGAGCAACCATTCAGCACTCCTCAGCATCTGGCACGCTAGAATTTGCATGAATAAACAGTATAAGGATCTCAGAGTTGAGCCTGATGAGTAGTTTCAAAGTTGCAAATATTCAGCATCTTTTACTATTTGCTTCCTTAAGCAGGGCTCTACTTAAATCTGTATAATGTTCTTGTAAAAGGGTGTGGAGAAGAGGAAAGATGTCAGTGGGATGGTTTGTCATAACATTTTCATCTATTAGGTCCAGCAGTTATCCTATTTATGCTGGGGAAAAATACGTAGACTAGGCTTTTTAGACATTTAAAATACAATGAAGTCTACACATTGTTTTCTGCTTTACCAGCACTACCTCAGTAGCCTTTAGGTACAAAGGCTGGGATCTGTACTGACAAACTTTAGTCATCCAGAAACAAGATATCTACTCAAGCAAACTCTATTCATTCCCTCTAATGGGAGTGATTAGAGAAAGACACAATCAGAAGGTGATTTGTCCCATCCTCAAAGAAGTGGATTGCCCTTTGGAGGTACCTGTTCCTTTCTACTGACTCTACAGACACTCTGGGCGGCTGGGTTAGACCAGATCTGCCTTTTAAGCAAGTATACAAGCAAGATTCCAGCCAAGTATTTCAGAATATCAAAAAACTCCTTGACAGGAATTCAGAACTTTGACTGCAGTATTATTTTACAAGATCACATACTCTTAAATTTAGGAAGTAGGGAGGAAAGGCGAAGGGCTGAATGGCTTCATAATCTACTTTAATGCAGAAGGATGAGGTGGTTGGCTACAACCTATATGAAGGTCTTCTGGAGGAACAATGCTAACCAAAGCAGGTTTTGTCCCTTGGGTCCCCATTCACCTCTGCCTGCTTTTGTTCTATGGTTCACTGCCCATTTGCATTGCTGCAGCTCTTTGAAGGGCTGTGCTAGGAATGGGAATGTCACTGGAACGACATCAATTTTTGGTTGGTTTTTTTGAGGTGAAGGAAGCTATTTTTAAACCCGGATCATTTGAATGATTTGGTTTCAGCACAGCTCAACAAACAGCTGCCTCAGCACCCTGTAAGTGGTGGCATCTGGGCAGCAATAAGAGGCAGGGCCATTTGGCAAAAAAACTCCTGAATCACCTTTGCTGCCAGAGGAAAAAATGGATCCACACCCTTAGAGGCACATGAACTACCCAGTGCTTTTGCTGCTTACTCTTGATCCAGCAGGAGAGCAAGGGTGTGAATTTGTTAGAAAGTGTGGGTCTTGGAGAGAGAAACAGTGAAAATACAGGTTTCTTGCTTCCAAGGTTTCTGTAGTCTCAGAAAATGAGCTAGAAATTAAATTTAATTCCCATTTTTAGCTGGCTTGTTTAGAAACAACCCCCAGTGTTGACAAGAACAAGCATGATTAAAAAATGCTAGCTGGTTGCAAAGCAATCACAGAATCTGTAGGCTATGTTTGTCTGCCTCA